ACAATAATGTTATTATTATTATAAATATTACCTTTCAAGTGCACAGGTTTGACTGAGCAGCAGAGGAAAGAGGCCTTTGCATGAGGGAGACCAGAACCTGAGTCTTATCTGCATTGAGCTGTAAAAAAAAATTAAGCTGTCCCTAATATTATTAACGCAGTCAAGGAGCCTAGATAACCTGAAAGGCTCAGTAGGTTTGAACGAGAAATGGAGCTGGATATCATCATCTGCATATAAATGATATGCAATGTAATATCTGTTTATCATTTGTCCCATGTAGTGGAGGAAAAGTGACTCCAGTGCAGTACGGATACTCCCAAAAAATACTCAAATACTTTAACAAAGTATTATTACTTCACATGACTGGTCAATATCACACACTTTGTCTGTATTGTTGTATTGAATTAATATCAATTTCTGGTGTAAATTTCATGTGAATAGCTGCATTGGAAATATGTTTAATGAAAGAAATGTTGATGTGTTAAATACTTATTTCCCCCACTGTACGTTAACCTCAGTTTTTCTCTATGAGCCAAAATGTACTTGAAAGGAAACCAAAAAAAAAAAAAAGATTAGGACAGCTACTAAGAATTATTTTTATTTTCACTTTATCTGCTGATTATTTTCTCAATTAATCAATTTGGTCTATCAAATGCCAGAATATAGTGGAATATATACCTTTCATATTCTAAAGCCCAAGGCGACATAAACAAATAATATTCCGTTTACTATCAGTACTGACAAAAAACAGCAGCTGATGATCATAATATAGAAGCTGAAATGAGGCAAAGTTAACTGTTTACTGATCAAGAAAAAATAGTTCTGTTAAGTTACGAATCAGTTAAAAGTTTCAGATGTTTAAAAGGGCAGTAAAAGAAAAAGCCTTTTGGTCGAGCAAGAAAAAGTAGACAAAGTGCCATTAATCAAGCAACACATTCTGTATTTAAGAGTCCCTTTTTTCCTCTGTCTTTCAGTGAACACGGACAGTGAGACAGCAGTGGTTAATGTCACATATGCATCCCGGGAACATGCCAGGCAGTAAGTGTCTCCCTTTTTAATCTCCTGTTGTCGCCTCTTTCTTCTTACCATTTTTTTCAGTCTTTTTTTTTTTTTTTTTTTGCATACACTTTGTGCCATTTAAAAATTGTGTCCTTCCATAATATTTGACATAATACTATAGTGTCATTTATGTATTAAGACTGTTAAATAATAACTTCCTGTAGTGGGTTATTATGCCTCCACTCTGCCGATGGCCATAGCCAATGGCATAACGTTTTCAGGTTGTCTCTCTGTCAAGGTCAAGGTCAATGTGACCTGGTCTGTCCCATTCTTGCGAATACAATATCTCCGGAATACCTTGAGGGAATTTTCTCAAATTTGGCACAAATGTCCACTTTGACTCAATAATGAACTGATTACATTTTGGTGGTCAAAGGTCAAAGTCACTGAGACCTCACAACACGTGTTTTTGGCCATAATTCAGGAATTCTTACACTAATTATGACAAAATTCCACACAAATGTCTAATAGAATAAAATGATGAAGTGACGATCTCAAATCATCAAACTGAATCATAAGCCCCACCCCCAGCCATGTTTTTTATCTGGTCTTGCTCATCTATAATGGAATCATGTCTTTCAGTCACAAGGCTGTATTCCAAATTTGGTGTTGATAGAGTAAAAAAGTCTTCTTTTTTATTTTATTCACATTATGCAAATTAGCGAGAAAAAAATCTTTTTTTGTAGAGTATATTGAGCTGCATATATGTGCCAGATTTCAAATAGTGTCATATTTTTTAGGAAGCATTTGCACATCCTGGCCTGGTAACATCAGTTACTGGACCAGGTTTCATTTTTTCTAGCTCATTCCAGCTCAAATCAATTTGAGCCATGGCATAAGACAATAAATAATAATAAATATAGCCACTTGCAGTGATTCTTGAGTTCAAGCCAGCATAAACCATTTGGGGTTGAAAGCTATGAAGGATCATGACCTTTGACAGTTCACAGAATCTGTATAAACATAACTAACAGGTATTATGAACATCAGACAGATGCTCATTTATTTATGTCCAAAACTGTGCTGGGCCACACTCTGTTTGGCAACTCTGTTTACCTGATCAGTTGCAGAAACATTCTGGGGACATGCTTCAGTAGCTTAATTTAAAAAAAAAATAAAAAAAAATCGAAGTTTGGTGATACTGGACAAACTGTCATTGATTCATGGTTTGTATTATGCCACACCCATTTCTGCATTTGTTGTGTTCCCTATTAGGCATTTTGAATTAAACTTTCAGGGTATGTTCCAGATACTTATCTGGAGACATTCTACAAGTTTCATGATGATTGGCACAAGTGTTGTGGTGTAAGGTCTATTTATGTGCTGAGCTACGTCCCCCTTAAAGTAAATAGGTCATCTTCAAAAATGAATGCAATATTAACAAGCTTTAAATAACTCTTTCCATTCAACCAAGTGGAAATTGAACCTAAGGTTTTAGGAGGAGATGTCAAAAATGCGTTTTTCAAATAAAATCAAAATTGGAAAAATTATTTCTGATTTATAGTCTTTGTGTTATACCACGCCCCCACCCCCTTCTTTCTTTCTTTCTTTCTTTCTTTCTTTCTTTTGCATTTGTGGTGCCCCCTATTGGTTGATTTGATTAAAACCTTAAGGGTATGTTGCTGGTAGGGCTGGGTTAAAATAATTGATTCATCTGATTCAAATCAATCTTAATTTGAGAGACCCAATATCGGACCGCAGTATCTCATCCACAACCCACTAATATTATGTTATAAACAAGCACAGAGAGCTTTCCAGCTAATAGCAAATTGTTACTAATGAGCTGAAACACCAGCAACTGTTAAAGGTTAAGCTTAGTTTGTCACAAATCTTAAAACTTATAAATGGTAATGTGACCTGCAGGCAGTGACTCTCCCTTGCAGCAGAGGGAGGGGCAGAGAGGACAGGAGGACTGATACTGACTGATGTCTGTATTCTTCATTCTTACTAAACTTCACTCAGTACTTTGATGTCAGGAATATGATTTATTTTATTAACATTTTAGATTTGTTTCCAGTGAGATACTAGTGAGATAGAGTTGATATTGTGACTTTGCTGTTTTGATAGTACTGTTGCTGCTCTAGAAAAATTTAGAAATTTAGTCATAAAATATTCAGTTATATTCCTGTTTTGAATTTATTCTTAGTAAAAAATAATTCCTTGTAAGATTTACAGTACTACTTTCTGAGAATCTCGTTAACATACTAGCAAAAATTTGAATTGTAACTGAAATATCCCCAGTCAAATCATATCAGAACGAATCAAATCGGAAATCAAATCGGAACCGTGTGAATCGAAATCGAATCGATTCAGGAAATCAGTGGCAATGCCCAGCCCTAGTTGCTAGTAGGCTACTTATGTTGACATCTCAACAAGTCCTCTAATGAGTGATGCAACAGATATGGAGTCAGGGTTATTTATATGCTGAGACACACTCCTTCTAAAGTTCATTGCTCATTGTCTTCGAAACACATTAATATATCAACAAGCTTTTTCTAACTTTTGTTGAGCTTCATCTAATAATGATCCACCGAAAATGTTGTACAAATCTGACATAGGGTATTTTAAAAAATTTAACGTGGTGGAAAATCCACTCAGGTGGACCTTATTGGTGCGTGAGGCTTTTTTTTATAGAGCTGCACCTGTCTGTCATATTTCAAGTCAATCTGATTTTACAATGTAAGGGCTGTAGCCTTTCCAAATTAAATTTTTGGTCATTAAATATAGCGCCCCTCTCCGTCTGATTGACATCACATTTGTTAAGCAGCATTTGCACACAACTTCCAATCACTGGTGAAAATTCCATGTGTCTATGATGTACCATCATAGACCACAGGACCACATGGACCACACCATCAACCACAAGAATTTGCAAAAACATTTCTGAAGACAAACATTTTTCAAACAGTTTCAGCCCTGTGGGCTTGAACCCCTGAATAAAGCTACAAGTGACAACTCTAGGGTACAAGCCAGTACTGACTGATAAAAAGCTGTGAAGAAGACCTTTAAAAGTTTCCTTTATTCTTTATTTGGATCCTCATTAGCTGCCTCTAAGGTAGTTGCTACTCTTTCTGGGGTTCCCACGCAACAAAACCAATATAGAACAAAACATATTTAGGCAATATCACACTCAAGCTCGTGATGTTATACTCGTATATCGTCATGGCTGTGATTTGGTCATAGGCACAAGGCCACAGGCAATCACGAGACAATCACAGCTATAACGATATACAAGTATAACATCACAAGCTCGAGTGTGATATTGCTTTTATACAACAGCTCAACAGTTAAATAAGCAAGGCTGATTAAGAAATGTTGAAAAATGAGGACAAAGTAGATAATTTAAGCATTTTATTTGTCTTCCGCCAACAAAAATAGTTCCCTCAGGACTCCGCTGTCACCGTTGCTATGTAACGCAGACATGGTGCGCCAGGCACTTACTCTTTATACACATTTATCTGCACATTTCCATTAATTGTGCAGCCGGTGAAATAAGTCTCTGGTGACTGCATGGTGGACTGTCGCTTCACAGGCACAGCCGACTCTGCCTTCTGATCTGACAGTATGTTGCTCCATCGTTTATTGCTCTCCATGGAATGGCTTCCAGTAGCTTTTTAACAAGCTCTCAGACCTGCAAGACAAAAGGTATATTTAGGGCCCGACTCCTAATTAGAAGACCAACTTTACACATAGGCTACGTTAAAACAACATCATACCTGTGCCCACTCACTGTCATGATCTCCCTAGCTTCAAGACCCGCATCTGACAGCTTCTGTATGGCAGTCGCCCTGAGGCTGTGATTGGTGTAGGTAGCTGTTGTCCTCGCCTCTTTACACATCTTCGGCAGCATCTGTGTGAGTGAGTTTATTCCCAGCGGAGGGCTGGTGGAAGTTTGTTTAAATACTTTTCCAGGGATGCAACGCAACTGCTGACCTAACTGACACTAACCGTCAGTTTTGATTTGATTGTTGATTGCAATCAGCTGTGAGGAGGTGTGATACATACACAGTGAAATAACTGTGATGTTGTACTCCAATATCGTCACGGTTTTACTGTCTCTCGACCAATCAGATTGCAGGAACTAACTGTTGTATAAACACATATAAAACATCTTATTAAGAATGTGTTCAAGATAAATAAAAGTCAAGTGAACAACCAAACATCACAACACATTACATGGCAAATTTTGAGGGGTGCCTGCTACTGCCACTGAGTAGGGAGGTACTACAAATAGCAGGTACTACATACTACGAGTACATGTTCTGTATACTACAGGTCCTGCATACTACAGGTGCTGCATAGTACAGGCTCATGCCCACTACAGTTACTGCATACATGTACTACATACTACAGGAATTACATACTACTTGTAGTGCAGGTATTGCACACTACTTGTGTACAGCTCCTCTCATGTCTGTATTTAACATCCATAGGCAGCAGTAGTAGTAGTATTACTACAAGGCCGTAGTAGTGGATAATAGATGCTGATGCTGATCGGGCAGTTTTTTTACGAATTTTGTAAAAACTGTGAGGCGAAACTCTGAGAAAAGTCATAGCACACTATACCCGGAATTTACACACGTTTTGATGTATTTTTTGTGTATGTGCTGGCAATGCTGTGGATGCAGAGATGATAGCTTTTTAACTTTTGCTAACTTTTGCTAACTTTTGCTAACTTTTGCTCCTTATCTGTTTAATGGGGGTTAAGAGACAAACACATACGTCTGTGAGTTTGTGTCAGTGGTTGTTGCTATGGTGATGAATGAGGGACCTGCAGCAGAGTAGCAGAGAGGGGCAGAGAACAGGTCAGAGAGCAGGCAGGTTTAAGATGGATTTAATTCCTCTCAAACTCCTTCCTCCTGTTCCCAAACTGTGCATCCATTCGTCAGTATGAGGATACCAGCAGAGAGATGAGCTTCTCCCGAATGCAGACATACCTTTTTTATGTTTGTGGTGTCAAAAATGTGATCATGGTCGCAGGTGAGAAATTTGGTGTCCCCCAGCTGTTTTCTAGAAATTTCTCCTCTCAGTTTACATACTACATGTACTACATACTACATGTACTACGTACTACATGTACTACAGTCAATGGGCAGTATGTGTGTATAATATTTTATGTATTTACATACATTACAATATTAATATTCATAATACCAAAGGTATTAACAGTAGTATAATTAGTAAAGACTGTAGTTGTATATGATAGATTGAAAACACTGATATATAATGTTTACATGCTGTTTAAAATGGAAATTCTGCTGCTGTCATGTCTGCATTTAAGATTTACACATACACACACACACACACACACACACACACACACACACACACACACACCAACACGTCTCTGTGTTGATGTGTCAGAAGCCATTGCCATGGTGTGTCAGAGTGGTGGTCATGATAATGAATGGGGGCCACCTGAGAGAGCAGAGACAAAACAGGCAGGAAGCAGCTCTCAGCAGAGGGTTATTTTAATGGACATGAGACCTCTCAAACCCCTCCCTGTTATTCCCAAACCGTGAGTCCAATCATCAGTATGAGGATACCAGCAGAGAGATGAGCTTCTCCTGAAAGCAGACATATCTTTGTGATGTTTGTGGTGTCAAAAATGTGACCTTGGTCGCAAGGTAGAAATCTGGTGCCCCCCAGCTTTTTCTAGAAATTTCCCCTCTCAGTTTATAGGAATGAATGAGAAAAAAAAATAAGCGCTTCCTTCGCTTCGGAGCCTACTGAGCCAAATGTGTAAGTGTGAGTGATTCCATGGGGACATTTCTGTGACCAGCACAAATTTTCCTACGAGGTATAATTGTGTATGTAGAAAGAAAATTGTGGCACAGAGAGCAATTTGTTCAGAATTTTTTAAGAAGATCTCCCAGCTCCTCCACACTCTAATGATGATGCCATGACTCTAGGTCTCTCCCATAGACACCCATTGTAAAATCTCTGGGAAAAAAAACAGAAAATGTAAACTGTGATTTCTTAAAAACCATACTAGATATCAAAATGCCGATTTGCTCCAATAAAGTTGAGAGTCTCATGCGGAGTTTAAAGTTTGAATAATTTTTCTACATAAAGGTATGGCAATTTGGTGTGGCCTCAAAGAGGAGTGATTTTACGTCGATTTCTAGACGATCTCCAAACACTGTGAATGGGAAATTTTATGCAGTTTTTTTACGAATTTTGTAAAAACTGCTGGACGAATCTCTGAGAAAAGTCATAGCACACCATTCCCGAATTTTACAAATGTTTTGATGTATTTTTTGTGTATATGCTGGCAACGCTGCAAGATGAGTTTCTCTGCAAAATTTTGGTATGGAAGGGGTATAAGGAGAAGTCTGAGGAATAGTAATAGGTTGTGCCTGTGTTCTACAGCAGGCACCCCTAATAAACTGGCACAAAGTCAACATGGTTCTGCCACCTCAGGGCCTGAACCCTAATAATCATAACAAAAATAAACTGTAATAAACTCAAAAGGGTTTTTTCCCTTCGGGGCTTAAACCCTAAGAAACTGCCATAAGGTCAGTATGATCCTGCTCCTTGGCTTGAACCCTAATTATGATAATAAAGCTGCACAAACTCAGTAGGGTTCTACCCTTCTGGGACTTGAGTCCTAATAATAATAATAACAAATTGACACAAACTCATAAGGGATCTGCCCTTTTGGGGCTGAAATCCAATAACAGTGCAGCACAAAACTATTCCAATGGTTTAAATTAAATATATATCAAGTGCTGTACATGACCCTGTGTTCATGTGCTGTGTCCCTCTCAGAGCCATCCAGAAGCTGAATGGATACCAGTTTGAGAACAATGCCCTGCGTGTCTCCTACATCCCTGATGAGACCTGCGAGCTAGAGGGAGGTCAGCGGGGTCCTGATAATGGCCGGCGTGGTTTTGGGCCCAGGAGTGGGCCTCGAAGTGGGTCCCCAAGCTCTGGAATACCCTCCAAACCTGTGCACCCTGACATCCCTCTGAGACTGCTGGTACCCACACAGTACGTTGGAGCCATCATCGGCAAGGAAGGAGCCACTATTCGCAACATCACCAAGCAGACGCAGAGCAAGTAAGTGCTCACTTTATCTCTGTGTACATGTGTTCAACTCAGTCTTGTAGTAGAATCTGTCGAGTGTTATAGATAAATAATGCGTCTTTTGACTCAGCTGCTTGGAATCCTGTTGAAAATCCTCTGTTTGCTGTGGTCACTGATCTTTATGTCTCTTGTGTTCTATGACCTATTTGATCTGTCTATGTCCTTTGGGGGAAATACACAGTAACAACATGAACATATCTGTCAAATATTACCGCTTGGCTATAATTTTGAATAAATAAATAATAAATTAATGAGATATAAGAGCTTTACCTGTTTATAATTGAGTTGACATAGTGGCATGTATTCAGTAGAAAAAAAAATGTTTAATCCACTCTCACTGTGGAGCCTCATGAACTCATGATGTATTCATTACTGCAGATATAAGTTCTGACAGAAACATTAATGTTGCAAAACTGCATGTTCACTGTTACAAAAAAAGCATGACATTGTAAGAAGAGCATGTTGTCTGCTGCACCCTGCAGTTTGATGAATACAGGGCCTTGGGTCTCACCGAACACCTTCTTTCCTACATGAACTTTAAGGTCACACCATCTGCAACCAAAAAATTATATTACTTTCTGCCCTTGTCTCAGTTTACTCTGTTCTGTGGAAGAAAGAAATAACAGCAGAAATACATGCAAACAAAAAGAAGAGCTTATAACTTTAACAGTAGAATACTGAAGCACACAGCTTTTCACAAAAGCAACCCTGGCATCCATGATTGTTCATGGCTCAGCCCATAACAGTTACCCATTTTTCAAAATGCTAATTAAATTTAATTTGGCCATTTTACCTTCATCAAGTAAATTATTTATCAGCAGCTCCCTGAAGGCTCAATAATGTAAGCAAAAATGATTGCATCTTGCATTGATCCACTGCGCTACACAGAAGAAGCATGTGCAAAATGAATCTATAGCAATATCAAAAAGCCTTGCTCTGCAACAATATATATAGAAGTGGGTTACTGCTTCAATATTATTCCCAAATATGTACCACATGGCCAGTTCCTTTACAAACAATGTTCAACGTAGTAAATAAAAACACAATAATAAGAATGTGGTGCATTTATGTCCTCATACATCCATTTCTCAAATTAAAGCAACATTGTTGCTTTTATAACTAATGATTATAGTCATTTGATTTGCAGATGAGCGTGTATATTACAGTGAAGTGTTAGACTCTGTTGACTTGATAACTCCTGTCCCTGCTTCACCTGTCTCGCTTCCTGCTTCGCCTGTCTCCTGCTGGGGATTCTGGCTGTCCCGCTTTGGACCTTATGCGGGGGCCTCTCACTCACCTCTCCAATACCGCAGTCTGGCCACACACCCTCTTTGCCATATTTTTATTATTATTTATTGTTATTATTATTATTATTATTATTATTATTATACTGTATTCTATTTTGTTGTCTTCTATCTCACGTTATATTATATCAGAATGTGATATGTTATTGTGTTTTTATGCTATATTATATCATATTATCATATTACTCTACACAGTATTATAGCATATCGTTTTAAGTCATGTTGTGTTGTGTATAATGGTATACCATAGTGGACTTAACGATAGCCTTATTATATCATTTTATATTACATTATAATATTAATATCATACCCTCTGTCTCTCATCCAAACACTCACACACACAGACAGACAGACAGACAGACAGAAAGACACACACACACACACACACACACACACACACACACTTGTTTGTTTACGCACTTTATTTGTCCCGTATCACTCTGTTTGTTGTCATGTAATTTCACTAAAAAAATAAAAAAAACTCCTGTTCTGAACTAATGAAGTACTCAACATGGAGACTTATGTAATAAAGTGAATCTAATCTCTCTCTGACTCTACAGGATTGACGTACACCGCAAGGAGAATGCAGGTGCTGCTGAGAAGCCAATCAGCATCCACTCAACCCCTGAAGGCTGCTCAGCCGCCTGCCACATGATCCTAGACATAATGCACCAGGAGGCGAAAGACACCAAGACGTATGTGTGATCAACAATCTAACATGTCTATCAACATCATCCTGGGCAGTTTCCCTGAGGAAGGCTCTATCTAGTGTGATGGCAGAGGCAAGATATTTAGTTTGTAGATTAAAATGATGAATGACCAGTGGTTTGTGTTGCAGTGCTGATGAAGTTCCTCTAAAGATTCTGGCTCACAACAACTTTGTTGGACGTCTGATTGGGAAGGAAGGACGCAACCTGAAAAAAGTCGAACAGGACACAGACACCAAGATCACCATCTCCCCGTAAGACTCTCTCTCTCTCTCTCTCTCTCTCTCTCTCTCTCTCCCTCTCTCACACACACACACACACACACACACACACGCTGACTTTTAATGTTTCAGAGACATAATTCAACCTCATTTTGGTGGATAAGAAGGTCATTTTAAATATATACAGGTAATAAATGAAAATATATACATATGCTGTGCATACATCTATATGGAAAAATATGTAGAGGGTATGATACAATACAAACATAACACACTTTTAAGATACTTTAAGACACTTGACAGCAGCCGATCACTTACAGACCAACTGATTATCTCCCCTTGTAATCTGTGCAGTCTTCAGGACTTGACACTGTACAATCCTGAGAGAACTATCACAGTCAAAGGCTCAATCGAAGCCTGCTGTCGGGCCGAGGTGGAGGTCACTAAGAAGCTCAGAGAGGCCTACGAGAACGATATTGCTGCTATGAATGTGAGTCTGCACGCATTCACATGTGTGCGCATGCACACCCACACACACACACACACACACACACACACACACACACACACACACACACCCTCATGAGTGGATTCTAACCTGCAGTCTTTGCTTCAGCAACAGACCCATCTGATCCCTGGGCTCAACCTGGGGGCTCTGGGCCTCTTCCCCTCCTCCTCCAACATGCCCCCACCCCCACCTGGAAACGCGTCCGCTGGTGCCCCCTATGGTTGCTTCGGGGTGAGAATGCCTGCTTCTTTGATGCATTTCTTTTGTCCTTTGAAACTCCATGACTTTATGCTTGCTGATCTTTTGTGTGTGTCTGCTTCATTTGAAGATGTGGTGGGCTAAGAAAATCCTAAAGTGGGCAAAAGAAATCTTTTCAGTTCTTGATTAGGGACCAATAATTTTGCATTTTCTTCAAGATCCCATCCAGACATGTTTTAAGACATGTGTCTGATATGTTTTTATGCCTCCACGGCGGTGATAGCTGTGGCTGGAGGCTTTATGTTTTCGGGTTGTCCATCCATACATATGTCTATATGTACTTCTGTATGCACAACACAACTCAAAAATTCATCCATGCTAATTATGAGATGTGTGTGAAGCATCCATGTTTACACAGACATGGATCTAAACTGTAAATGCAACATGACTGCTGCGTGGAGACATACAACCATATGGCAGTCATTCTAGTTTCCACAAAAAAGTTCAATTACCTCATTAAAAATTCTTAAAATTACATTTACTCCTCCTCCCCTCATTGAAAATCCAGAATGCATTAATATGCAAATATTGTTTATTTCAAAAGTGTAACTGCTGGAAGCAAAATGTGCCTTAATTCACTGAAAAGTCCACTTTCAATGTATGTGACCTGTAGGTTCCAGGTTTCTATGTGGCACTTGCTTAAGTTGCATACCGGACCGTAACTGGCTTCAGACTAGTTGTGATGTTCTACATCCTGTGTGTTAAACTGAGATTTAAGGTGAGCTCAGAGAAATGTTCCCTCTTCAGATGAATGTGAAACAAACTCTGCACAGTCATCATTCAGCACAATGAAGCTCAGTCAGTATAGTGAAACACTTTTTTGACTGGAGGGGGACACTGACTAAAGTCCCAATAGCAAGAGATTAGTTCCATAATAGATCAGAAGTTGTAATGAAATGTTTGCTTTGTGTGTGTTCAGGCTCCAGAGCAAGAGACAGTCCATGTGTATATCCCAGCACAGGCAGTGGGAGCCATCATTGGAAAGAAAGGACAGCACATCAAACAGCTGAGCCGCTTCGCTGGAGCCTCCATTAAGGTCTGTAAAATGAGCTGACATGCTACATTTTGAACATGGAAACACATCACAGTCGTTTTTACAAGGACTCTCATTTAAGTATCCTCTTATTGTCCAACTGCTAAAAACTGACGCCACCCAAAATTATTACTTTGTGCTCACAGCAGCAGCAGCAGCAGCAGCAGCAGGAAGTGCTTTGGGATTTTTATGCCCTGAGCTTCTGTCTTCTTCTGATGACATGAAGGCGACACTAGATGACACTTTTTTAAAGAGCATATCACTTTGTGTCAAACTGAACCTGATTTCTGCTCTCCTCCAGATTGCCCCAGCTGAAACTCCAGACTCAAAAATGAGGATGGTGATTGTAACAGGACCCCCTGAAGCTCAGTTTAAGGTAAACACTAACAAGATATTGCCAGTGGATTGAAATTCATTCCACTTTGCATAGTATCTTTGTGGGCATAGCAAAGTGCAGTTATAAAGTAACAATATTCAAATAGATCAAATACATTATTGCCCTCTTGGTTTCCCCAGGCTCAGGGAAGAATCTATGGCAAACTGAAGGAGGAGAATTTCTTTGGGCCAAAAGAGGAAGTCAAACTGGAAACTCACATTAAGATGGCCGCTGCTGCTGCAGGAAGAGTCATTGGCAAAGGAGGCAAGACGGTAAGCCACCTGAACGATATGCTTCAGTCCCTTCATAGCATGCACTGGTTGTCACAGCAACAATTCTGTCCACTGGGGTGTGTTTAACACTTGACTCTCACCACACACCACTACCTTTTGCCCTCAAGCATACAGTGTTCTGCAGAAAGTAAGCAACATTTGTGTGTGCAGGTGAATGAGCTGCAGAACCTGACAGCGGCAGAGGTGGTGGTCCCCCGGGAACAGACCCCTGATGAAAATGACCAGGTCATCGTTAAGATCAATGGACACTTTTATGCCAGCCAGGTACTCTATTACTCTGTTGCCTAATTAGGCTTTACATATTACTTAGTCAATTAAAGAAGTGGAACTAAATTTTCATAACACTTTTGGTGAAAACCATTCATGTCCTCTGAAAAGTTACAACTATATATTAGTAACAAACCTATGAATTCATGTTATTGTTAAATTATTCATTATTCACCACTTCCTGCTAGCATTAACATAAAGAAATATGTGGACATTTGACATAATGGCAGTGTCCATCTAACTAGTGTTAATGGTTAATCAGTGGCATGTTGCACATTTAACACAACAGCCAGTTACTGGAACATATCACACCAATACAACACTGTACAAGTAATTCACACAAAATACAACTGAACAATCTGACATTTTATTCATTAATTCATTGTCCAACAGGATATGCTCATTACACCAGCTGCATGAAGCTCATCTGTAATAATTCCTAGCACTAATAGCTTGTATTTATTTTTCTTTGCTTGGTTGTCAACTTTGTAGTATTTATTAGCTTAACTTCCTTGTCTACAAAACTGACTTATGTTGTACCTTGACTGTGGGCCCCATTCTTAGTTAAGGTGCTTATCCTTCTTCACACAAGTATTAGGCATAGAGCATCATTGCATTTTTATGTAGCCCAGTGATCCTCACTTATAATCTTTCTGTCAACCTTCCTTAGACTTTCCTCAAACTTAAACTTGCACTGATTGATTTTCTTTGGTCTCTTGTAACTAGCTGTAAACACAATACTGGCATATTATCACCTTGTAATGTTGATATGGCATATGGCAGTTTATTTATACATCCAACAGACAAAGAGCAACTTTAGCATTCATCTGGAGTCCTGTTGATGGCCATCTGAAAAAATAGAAATACAGTTACCACTCTTCTTTTAGTCCTGGTTTTGTCTTAACCTCCTCTTGAGGGAAATGTCTGTCTCGTTTGCTGCTCAATGTTCCACTGTGTTCACCAGCTAGTTGCCATCTTTGTCTACAGTTTGGTGCTGGTATGCAACCCCAATTCCCCAAAAGTTGGAATGCTCTGTTAAATATGAATAAAAACAGAATGTAATTATTTGCTAATCTTTTTTGACTGATATGAATATCATATGAATATCAATATTGAATACATTACAAAGACAAGATATTTATTGTTCATACTGATGAACTTTATTTATTTATTTATTGTGAAAATAGACTCATTCTGAATGTGATGCCTGCAACACGTTCCAAAAAGTTGAGACAACACCGAGGATGACATGTTATGAAAAGGGAGGTCTGGGGTTGCACCCTCAGGAAATTTAGAGCATCAGACACTTCATTTCCTTGTTATGCCTCCATGCTGGCAACAGCAATAACCGGAAGCATTATGTTTTTTGGGTTGTCTGTTGTTCTCATTCTCATGAATGCAATATCTCAAGTACGTCTTGAGGGAACTATTTCAAACTTGGCACAACCGCTTGGACTGAACAATACATTGATTTGATTTTGGTGGTCAAAGGTCAAGGCCACGTTGACCTCATCTATCTCATTCTTGTGAATGTGATATATCAAGTACCTTGCCTTGGGGGAGTTTCTTCACATTTGGTACAAACGTCCATTACGACTCAGTGATGAACTGATTAGATTTTGGTGGTCAAAGTCACTGTGACCTTGTGTCTGTCTCATTCTTGTGAATGCAATATCTAAGGAACACCTTCAGGGAATATCTTCAAATCTGGCACAAACTGATTTGAATTTGGTTGTCAAAAGGTTAAGGTTGCTGTGACCTCACAAAATATGTTTTTGGCCAAAACTCAAGAATTCATAGACTAATTATGACAAAGTTTCACAAAAATGACTAATAGGATAAAAGTATGAAGTGATGGCATTTTCAGTTCAGTTCAGTTCAATTCAATTCAATTCAATTCAATTTTATTTATAAAGCCCAATATCACAAATCACAATTTGCCTCACAGGGCTTTACAGCATACGACATCCCTCTGTCCTTAGGACCCTCACAATGGATAAGGAAAAACTCCCCCAAAAAACCCTTTAATGGAGGAAAAACCGGTAGAAACCTCAGGAAGAGCAACTGAGGAGGGATCCCTCTTCCAGGACGGACAGACGTGCAATAGATGTGGTACAGAACAGATCAGCATAATAATAACAGTAATCCGTATGACACAATGAGACAGAAAGAGAGACAGACAGAGACAGAGAGAGGTGCAGGACAGACGGTAATGACAGTAGCTTACAATTAATTAAAGTAATAATATTATAATTATAATTCTGGCTATTGTGGTACAATATGTTGACAGTATATATTAATATCTGATAGTATATATATGTGACATCATATATATATGTATATCATATGTGTAAAATAACAGTAGAAGTATGACTAATGAAAACAGCAGCAGCAGAAGGCATCAGGCAGGACCGCGGCAGCAGCACAACCACACACGTCACACTATCCAGGCACTGCTGCGATATAAGTTAACCTGCGAGACAGTGGAGCACCAAGGCTCCAGAGAAGAAGCCGAGTTAGTGACATGCAGTACGGCCGAGTTAGCAAGATGCACTAACAGGACATGAGAGAGAGAGAGAGAGAGAGAGAGAGAGAGAGAAGGAGAGAAGGTGCCCGGTGTATTATAGGAGGTCCTCCGGCAGACTAGGCCTAGGTCAGCCTAACTAGGGGCTGGTACAAGGCAAGCCTGAGCCAGCCCTAACTAGGAAAGAGGAAAGTCTTAAGTTTAGTCTTAAATGTGGAGACGGTGTCTGCCTCCCGGACCGCAACAGGAAGATGATTCCACAGGAGAGGAGCCTGATAGCTGAAGGCTCTGGCTCCTGATCTACTTTTGGAGACTTTAGGGACCACGAGTAACCCTGCATTCTCAGAGCGCAGTATTCTGGTGGATTAATATGGCACTATGAGCTCTCTAAGGTATGACGGAGCCGGGCCATTTAGAGCTTTATAAGTTAACAGTAGGATTTTAAATTCAATTCTGGATTTTACATGGAGCCAGTGCAGAGAAGCTAAAACAGGAGAAATATGATCTTGTTTCTTAGTTCCTGTTAGTACACGTGCCGCTGCATTCTGAATTAGCTGGAGAGTTTTTAAGGACTTACTAGAGCTACCTGATAATAGAGAGTTACAGTAATCCAGCCTAGAAATAACAAAAGTTTCTTACAGTAGTGCTAGAGGCCAGAGCAATGCCATCTAGAGAAACTATGTCATCAGATAAAGAGACTCTGAGTTGTTTGGGGCCAAGAATAATAACTTCAGTTTTGTCTGAATTTAACATCAGGAAATTGGTGCTCATCCAGGTTTTTATGTCTTTAAGGCAATTTTGAAGTTTAGTTAATTGATTACTTTCTTCTGGCTTCATCGATAAATACAACTGTGTATCATCTGCATAACAATGGAAATTTACAGAGAGATTTCTAATGATGGAAAGGAAGCATATATAGAGTAAATAGGATTGGTCTGAGCACAGAACCTTGCAGAACTCCAAAACAAACTTTAGTACGTAAGGATGATTCATAATGAAAGTAAACAAACTGAAAACGATCAGATAAATAAGATTTAAACCAGCTTAGTGCAGAACCTTTTAGGCCAATTAAGTGTTCCAGTCTCTGTAGCAGAATTTGATGGTCAATTGTGTCAACCGCCGCACTAAGATCTAATAAAACAAGTACAGAGACAAGTCCTTTGTCTGATGCAATCGGAAGATCATTTGTAATTTATATCCAAAAGGTTGATGGTCAACTTTGTGGTGTCAGTGGGTCAAGTAAGGAGACTGGCGTATTCTTTTTAACTCTTTATTTTTAACACCGCTGAACACTCCTGGCATATATCGGTACTTCTTCCTTTCTTCCTGCATATCCCTCAGCCATCCCTCTTGTCAGCACCTGTATCTCTCTAGTATACACAGTCTCACAGTGACACATAGTGGTTAGGTAGCATAACAACAACTATAATACATGGACCCGCAGACACAACATCTCCTCTGTTACCTAATTGAATTCCTCTGATTCAATAGAACTAAACCAAGCACAAGCATTAGTAAACATTGCCTACATTAACATAACATTACCAGGTAACTTATGTCTCAAGGCTCTTATCTTCACCATCCGTTGGTATCTTATTGCAACAGTACTAACAATATCAGTGTAATCAAAACCATAATACCCTTTAAAGCACAATATTTATAAAGTGACAGTTCTTAATTAAAGGCATATAGGTAGTGCTATATTTAGTACTCTCTGATGCAGAATAATGCACAATGATCAGTAATATAGAAAAATGTAAAATGCCTCCTGCTGTTTTCAAACATCATAATGTTGGTTTCCTCAGGTAGTGCATTACGTGTAAATAATTACTTACCAAAACATAATGAATCCGCTTTTACGTCTGGAACCTCCCATCTTCCGACCACATGCCTTTGCTGACATCGACCCCAGCAGTCTTTCGCATTGAAGACGAGTGCTCTAACCACTGCACTAGGGAGGTCCCACTCTTACCAAAATATAATACTAAATCAAATAGTGTAGTAAATAAGCACTTTTTTCTCCCCCAACATGGTTGTTTGGAGCATCGACAGCCTATACTGGTGTGGTCGGGGCCACGCTGGTAGAAGAAAGCAGTGTAGCATTCTTAACCGTTGCCCCACCTGACATGCGATTGCAAGGGCCTTGTCCAGTGTGAGGTCTTCCTCCAGGACTAACTTTTCCCTCACAATGCAGAGATTAGCAGCGGCAATTAGCTGATCTGTTATCATCTCACTTTCCATCTGTCCAAACCCACATGGCATAGCTAAGGCTCTTAAAGCTGCCACATACTGTGTTACAGTTTCACCAGTCCTTTGAAGACGCTGTCTAAATGTGCGTCTGAATGCTAACACATTTGTCTTAGGGACAAAATGCTTCTCCAGTGCCGCCATAGCATGATCAAATGTCAGACCTCGATCCAGTGGAGTATAGAAAAGCAACTGCCCCCAGGCAATGTAATTAGACAGCATGTCACCTTTCATCTGGCCATGTGCCTCCCCTGGCAGGTATCACTAGCATGTAGTGTTGAAAGATTTTCCGCCATGTTTCAAAAGGCAGTACTCACCCTTGTCGCCAATTTGTGGTGTTGGTGGGTCAAGCAAGGAGACTGGTGTACTCTTTTTAACTCTAAGCAGGACGTCCCTGAATAATATGTCGTCTGGATGTCAGCATATGTTGCTTCAAAACCTGTATTACCTTTCAGCATTCATGGTGTCTTCACAAATGTGCAAGTTACCCATGATGCCATGGGCACTAACACACCTCCATACCATCACAGATGCTGGCTTTGAGCTGGTACAATGTGGATGGTCCTTTTCGTCTTTAGCCCAAAGGACAGGACATGCATGATTTTCAAAAACAATTCATGTGGACTCATCAGACCACAGCTCACTTTTCACTTTGTGTCTCAGATGAGCTCGGGCCCAGAGAAGTCAGCAGTGTTTCTGGATGTTGTTGATATATGGTTTTCGCTTTGCATAGTAGAGTCTTAACTTGCATTTGTAGATGCAGCAATGAACATGAGTGTGTTTACTGATAATATTTTACCAAATTGTTCTAGAGCCCATGTAGTAATATCCTTTACACAGTCATGTTGATTTTTAAGGTACTGCAGCCTAAGGGGTCACAGGTCACAGGCATTCAGTGTTGGTTTTCAGTTTTGCCCTTTATGTGCATTTCTCTGGATTCTCTGAATCTTTTGATGGTATTATGAATTGTAGATGGTGAAATCCATAAATTCTTTGCAAGAGAAAAAATGTTAAGAAATGTTGTTCTTAAACTGGACTTAGACTATTTGCCCATGCAGTTTCTCACAAAGTGATGACTAACACCATCCTTGCTTGTAAACAACAGCCTTTTGAGGATGCCCCTTGCATACCTAATGATGATACTCTCAGCTGTTACCAATTAACCTGTTTACCTGTGAAATGCTCCAAGTGTTTTTGAACATTCCACAATTTTCCCAGTCTATTGTTACCACTGTCCCAATTATTTTGAAACATGTTGCAGGTATCAAATTTAGAAAAAAAACAACAAAGTTTATCAGTTTGAACAATAAATATCTTGTCTTTGTACTGTATTCAATTGAATATAGGTCAAAAACGATTTGCAAATTATTACATTCTGTTTTTAGTTACATTTAACTTAACTTCTTTGGTATCAACATTGTAGATATAAAACATATTTTTACTCAAAGATCCTGACTCGTGCAGCTTCCAGTTTGTCATTTGTCATTCTTATCTGTCATCTGCTCTCCAGCTGGCTCAGAGGAAGATCCGGGACATACTGACCCAGGTCAGACAGCCTCAGAAAGGTGGTATATGCATGGGCCCCGGCCCGAATCCCCAGGGCTTCACAGAGATGGGCAGCCCTACACAGAGTCTGACTCAGGACCACCAGCCACGCAGGAAGTGAGGGTCCCACACCCTCCTCACATGCCGTGGGGCCTCTACCTGACGGACAGACAGACAGACACATGCACGGACAGATAGACAGACGGACAGACGGATACAGGAGAGCTACACACGGACCCAGCGATAAACAGGGAGAGATGTAAAGAGGGAGGGAGTATGCCCAATAGCCAGAGAGAAAGATCATTCTTTAAGGAGAAAGAGAGAAGATGAATAAATCAAAAGATGAAATGAATACAAAAAGAAGATAAAGATAAAACAAAACTTGAGAATAGAAACCAGATGCCAGGCCAGAAGAAAGACTGACTGAGGATGGAGGGATGAAGGAAAGGAGGGATGGAAAGAGGGAGGGGCGGTGTCCTCCTAGTGTGCCTTGGTAGGGCTGCAGCCAGCTCCTCATCTGCTGCAGCTTCAACACATCCTGCATCAGACGGGTTCAAACAACACAAAGACATTACTCTCCTTGTAAGGTTGAAGCCTTACCGCTGTTGTTTACACATGTCCACATGGGTTCACATGTGCTGCAGAGACAAGTCTTTGTTCCGTGAGACACACTAGCAGGGGCCCGTTTGTTCCTCTGTCGCCCCCTACAGACCTCTCTCACCATCAGCACTCAGTCCTATATTTTAAGGGTGTTTTTTAAAAACATAGAGATATATGTATAGAAATGTTTTATTCAGAGCTATTATTGATAGAATGCAGTGAGGCAGAGCTGGGAGAGGGAGCAGGGAAACTGCTGCAGTGGCGGAGGGAGGGTTGGGTGATAGACCTTGCATTAACCCCACCCACCCCTAACTTCCTAGCCAATGAAAGTCTACAAGAGGGGCCGCAGATGTTAACACTGCTCTTTAAAGACCTCTCCAAAAAGGGGAGAATTTAGAAGAAAAAAAGGAAAAAAGGAGAAATGATGAGGTTGTAAATATATAATCTTCATGTAAATGTTAAGAAATGCTGTGTCTGGCCACCTTGCCTTTTTTACAAGGGGTCTTCTGTATATTTCCCAGTCCCTTGTCTATGATATGTAGCATAACGTAGCCTACAACGAGACTGGGGGCTGCGGAGGCACTGAGGCTCTTCCACGTTTAGCCGTGTGGCGGAAGGCACAGCAAGAGACAGTAAGGGGAGCGGAGGCCGCAGCTGGTCCTGCAGTTCTATTGCAGCGGCTTAGCTCACACATGTGAATGCGTTATGAAACAACTTGATAGAAGCAGCCAGCAGCTATGCTAGCTGGCTAGCGGCCCGCACCTTAAACGGCATATTTTATATATATTATATATATATGATATGTGAGTTAGCCCGGCCCCTTTGGGGAATGTATTAAGGGCAGTGAGTCAGGTGTGAGGTTTTGCTACACCTGTATGAATAAGTTTGGTAATGACAGACAGACAAAGTGTGTCTGAGACTTTCTGCTCATCGCCTTCTTTCAGCGCTGAATACTTGAGACCAGACTTGGACAGGATGGATTTCTCCTCAGAGGAGCTGGGGTCCTTAAGGCCATCCATGCATTGAAGTCATCTTTATTCATTCGGACAACAAATGAATGCTTTAATGCTTGTATCAATATAAGGATGTGAAAGACAGGCCTTGTCCCAGCGTCAAGTCTTCCAAAGCTCCTTGCCTTGAGCTTAGAGAAGGTAAAATCTGACTGAAGTGGGGCAGCTTCCTTGTTCTTTCTCCCAATCTGCCAAAGGCCTGTGGGTGGAGCCTCCAGACCCTGCCTGCATATGATAATGAGGGGCGGGGTCTATGCCTGGACACTCTCACCAAGATTAGAACAGATTAGAGAAGAGATGAAAAAGAAAAAACCTACCTCAGGGTAAAGTTACCTCAGTATTCCTAACTCTTTTTTTTTGCTTGCTGGTGTTTTATATAAGAAGAAAATGAAAGAGCTGATAGTCCTCAATATTTTTTATTTTTTTAAAGAAAAAAAGTATTTTGGGTTTTTTTTATTAGGTATTGTCTTGTTGCTTGTTTTTTTTCTGTTTTTTTTTTTGTTTGTTTTTGATGATGGTTGAATGAGCTCAGGATGACAGTGTGTTTTTTCACGGCAGAGAGAGATAAACTGCTGCTCTAGAGAGGAAATGGGTCAAGTGCCATTTTGCCGTTTTTAGGTGAGAAACATGCTGTCTGTCTTCCTGAAGTGTGATTGGAGCAGCTGTTGTCTAAAATATTGGCCAATAGGGAAAGGTGTTAACTCGAGAGGGGGTCCTACAGTGCACACGGTGAGCAGGCAAGCCACTGGATGCTGGATTTACTGACCTAATGTCATCAGAGGGGGTGATACTAATCATTCTTCTGCAGGTCACATAATGTCGCTGTGACTGGCCATTATCATTGCTACTGGCCAGCCCTGTGTCCTGAAGGATCTCCCTCTCCTGCCTTATTGTGATGACATAATCACGAAGTATCAAAAATTGTGGGAGGGCTTTAAGTGTTGAGGAAATTAAGTTTCTCAGCCACAAAGAAGACACATGAGAGTGAGCTTTGAAAAGAAAACTACACCTGCAAAATGACCATTTGCATAATGATAACTCACTGTGTGTTAGGTTGAAATCGTGAAAAAAAAAAGAAAAAAAAAAAGGTTTTCTCATATCCCTCCACAGTTACAAAGAAGGCAAACATTCTTCATGACTTGAAGACATTGGGGACCACAATTAACAACAGCAAAACTTTATCAAACATCAGTTTACAAACTCTCACACAACTTGTGCAATATAATCCATGTGTCATTTATCTAGTCATATGCTCAGTACTTCACAAACACATGCATTTTCACTAAAAATGTTACATTTTAAAACACTTCCACCTATGAGTAGCGCGCCCTGACTGGCTTGAGCATGTTACTCGGCCATGCATGAGACTGTTTGTACTGACTTATTTTAAATTGTAATATTTTAGTGAAAAATCATGTTTGTGCAACGTATTGTAGTAAAATGGTTCATATGATATCCTACAAAAAATGCATACACAACCATTCGTATAATATCCTACAAATTAGCACCCCATAAATGGCGTTGCATCCTTCACATGTAGTTATGTAAGTAAAATAAAGTTAATGAGGTTAAGTTTAAGCAAGTAAAGTTACTGTGGTTACTTTTAAAATGAAACATGACAAGGACATACCTTAGAATGAATCAAAGTTAACACAGTTCCGGACACACGGCTCCAGGAGAAAGCCCATCTTCACCCATCCACCAACCCAACCTACCACCTTACAAGTACACTCAGGACTGAGGTACTTACCTATTTACTCCAGTCAGCACATTGGTCACATGATCGCAGCCTTTCAAAATGCGTGGGATGTATGTATGATTTTGGGTACATTCATTTTGTAGGAGAACAGCCTGGTTTGTGTAGTACTGATCATGGACGAATGAGTCTTGTATTATGCTGGACAAGTTGTGTGAGGTTTTAAACTGATTTTCTGATATAGTTTTGTTGTGTGGCCTCATTTACTTCAGTTAATCAGAACCATGTGCTTTTGATTCTTCGTCCACTGTGGAGGCATGTGGGAAGAATTACGTTTTCTTGACAAATTCAAGGTGACACACAGTGAGTTATTATATACACATGGTCATTTTGTAGGTGAAGTATTCCTTTAAGGCACCTGTTTTGGAACTTGTCAGATCAGATCAGTTGTGGTCCATCTACAGTATAGAGGCAGAAGAAGATATACTAGCCATAGACACACACCTGAACTAGCTCTAACTTTTCTGAATGTGAATATATATTACCTGTGCACTGACCATGACACCTCAGATGCTCCCTGTTGGCTACATATGTGCTTGGTGTGTCTGTGTGCATGTGTATGTGGAAGCGAATGCAAGTGTGTGTGTGTGTGTGTACTGGTTTTAAATGTTCATCTCTGTCAGGGGATGTGATTGGGTGAAACTTTAAAAAAAAAAAAGCAGAAAAAGGTAGGACAAGAACCTATGGCCCTCTGTCTGTGTTCCAACTGACTGAGGAGAGAGATCCAAGAACCTTTGAAAAAATGGGAGCAGAAAAAGAAAAGCAAGAGAGTTTCAAAACAATATTAACACAGCTCAGTTATAGATTCAAACCTGTACATAAGATGTTATAAAAAGGTGATCATGATACTTTTGTATTTTTGGAGTAAAAGCATAAAAAATCAGAATGGGAAAAGCCGTTGAGAGAGGAAATCTTGATCCAAGTCACTGAAGGACACTGCCAGATAACTATAATCTTTTTAATGTCTTACCTGACCTTGGCGACACACACCACCAATCTTCAGCGGCTACCCTACCATTACCACCACCACCACCACCATCGAACAGGGAAAAGTCTATTCTGTCATGTCTGTGCTTCCATTTTTGTCCAGAGGTGGTAACTTCTCTGTTCAACATGGTTGTCTTTGTGGAGTTTCCACCTCTTTCCAAACCATAGAGCTTTGTTCACAACCACTAAGACACGCAATTTGGGATTCTTTATTCAGCCTGCAGCTCTTCAAATAGGTTAGGATTCATTTCTTTTTTCTTTGATTTTCTTTGTTTAATTTAGTTTTGACTAAGCAGCAAGCTTTATTTGGACGTGACATCTGGGGACATACTGTTGCACTAATCGATAAAAATACGTCAACAATTAATACGACAACTGGGAACCACCTGTAACACCTGATGCAATTCTTGAGAGGTCAAGGTGGAGAGTAAAGGGAGGAGGAAAAGGAATAATGGGAGGAGGGAGGTAGGAGGTGGTCAAGATGTCTGGGATGAGGTGTCCAACCCCATCACCAACTCAATTCTGCCATTTCCTTTATTATTGTTTCCCCTCTGTCCTTTCACAAAACAACTGAGTACTCTCTTCATCCTCTGAAGAGAAGAGTGAGATGTTTTTATTTCATTTCATAAAAATTAAAAAAAATCATTTCATTTTTGGAGCGGGTGGGAACGTCAGGGTCCCTCACCCTCTTTTGCGCTGGTCTGCATCATGTTCGTTTTGCTCACTTCTGTTCAAGACCTTTCAATTATTATTTTTTTGTTACATTAACCACATATTTTTTACTTTTAATGTACTGACTCTCTTTTTGGAAAAATGAAAGTTGTTGAATTTGATCAAGTTTTGTTCTTTTTTATTTGAATGCACAGTTCTAACAAAACAGCTACTAAATATGACAAACTACTTATATGCAGCGCAGTACATGACAGTAAGTGTGCCAAACACACGGAAAGGGGCTCAGTCCAAAATACGGTAAAGAGCCATTTTGAATGACTGGACTCAGAGAAAAGGTCTAAGTTAACTAAAGTACTATTTCAAAGTAGTGTTGTCACAATAACTTTGATACAATACCTTGAAAAACATTAGTATGTGATACCATTTGTGATATCACAGGGAAAAACTGACATTGAGAGCTTACAATTTAATATTTGAATTAAAAGACAAATATAACAAGGCTATAACATGACGAGGACATTTCTTTTCTCATTTAACAGCAGAGAACAGCAGAATGACGATAGGAAATCGATAAATGGAGATTTCTGACAACACTATTTCAGAGTAGAGATGGCTACATGCAAAAGGTGACTTCTCATCTTGGAAGTGAACTCCTCTAATCTTGTTTTGTAAGTACGGTAGAGACAGTAGAGACAATACGTGTTACTGTTGTTGTGTCTCTACAAATAAAAAGAAAGTAAGACACAGACCATGCTACCTACCACTCGTGCTCTGTGGCAGTAAGAATGGCTTACGCAAAATGAAGCCTGCATTCTGACTGGGACAGAAATCTTTCGTTTCATTTACGTTTCATCTGCTTTTACCATCTGGATCATTTCTAGGCCCAAAAGTGAACCCTCTGTCCTTTTTATGCACGTTGAACAATAAACTGTTTCAGCTGGAACAGAGTTTGGTGGTGTGGGATGCAACACTGCCAAACACACATTACAGTTGCCACAAACTAAAATTCAAGCTTAATCCAAGACTGTGTAAAGGACCACATCAGTGCAAGTTTTATTACAGTAACTATAAATTGCTATGGAATACCGTTGACCATATTCTAAAAGATGCAATATATGTTCAAGCATACCATATTATTTAGATTTGTGAATCTCAATTTGTTTCCTTTCATTTCACTATAATATGAAATCAAGTTTGACAGGGAAAGCTTGAGTTTGATCTTACTTCACAGTGAACATGGATGGATCGCCACCTCTCCAAAAACATGCCTTAGTTGATATAAGACTTGTGTGTAGATCACCAAACTAATTTACAATTAAAGGTACCATGTAGAGCTGTTATGTTTCCATTTAGTGTTTCTCACCAAAAAAACATCATTAGTATCTGTAAAGTCTAATGCAAGTGTTCCTAATTCAAGCAACTTGCAACAACTGATTGTTTTGGTAACTCTGAGGCAAGAAACACAAGCTGGAAACACGACACTGACATAATATCAGCTTTCAAGAAGATATGGCAAAGTTATTAGAAAACAGCTGCCTTTTTACACATCTAGCACAACAGAGCAGCATTAGCATTCATTTGGAGTCATGTGTCTGTCCACCTGCCTTTTAGTTTTGTTTTTGATCTTCACTAAACTCCTTATACCCTTTACTAACCATAATTAGAGTGTGTACGTGTTTTTTAAACATGGGAAAACCTGCTAAAAATAGGCAATAGACTCCTTTCTCATTGCCAGTAGAGAAGAGTTGTGTACACAGCTCTGCAGGAGACGAGTGTGCCTTTCTGTGTGGGTTATTGTTGGTTTTCTTTTGGGGGTTTTTTGTTTTTTGGTGTGTCACTTTTGACGTCACTGACAGGCTGATAAACAGGTCAGTAAACAGTAGAAAGCAGCATGAAGGTCAACAAAAACTTTATGATGGTTACATATATTTATAAATCTCTTATTCAGTCTCTCTTTCAAACTTAGTTCAGACTTTTTTGGATCAATGTTTGAGTGCTACT